AAGATTCCTGGAAACAGAGTTATCAGGTAATCAACTCATGTTTTCCCCAGTCATCTTCCAGGACAGCCATCGAGAGGATCAGTGAGGACAAATCTTACCTCCTAGGGTGGGACCACAGCCTGCAGGACTTTCCTGCCAAACGCCTGGTCTTGTTGAGTCATAAGGTCCAGCCTGTAGTGCCTGACGAATGTCTGGAAGCTGGACCACGTGGCTGCTCTGCAGATCTGTTCTGGAGTAGCCCTTGCTTGCTCTGCCCAGGACGTAGCCCATGCTCGAGTCGAGTGTGCCGTGAGCGAACCTGGCAGCACCAAGGTTCGGTGCTTTGTAGGTGTCAGTTATGGCCATTTTAATCCACCTGGCAATCGTGCTTTTAGTGGCCCTGTTCCCCCTAGTGGGAGGACTGCCCCCTTCAGGTCTAGAATCAGACCTGTTGTGACCATGTGGTAGTGAAGCAGTGTAGCTTAGGGTGCAAAGTAAGGCTTTAAGCCCTCACAGAACCCAACTGCTGGTAATATATGTAAGGTCGGATGGCTTGAAGTGACCAAGTCACAGTAGCCAGGTAGCAGGAAGGAACCAAAGATCTGAGTTCCATGTGGCTCCTTGGAAAGTGAGAGAGCAGCAGGAAGGAGCTTCCTCAACCCTGAATGGTGGGAAAGAGCACTGAGCTTTTGCACAACACTGCACCCAAAGGATAACGATAGCACTCACTCTCTTAAGGTGCCCAGCGGTAAATCTTCAGAGACAGGGAAAGCACAGGCAAACCTGTAAATTATATGCATTTTATTTGTGTATTTAGTTGTTCGTCAGGATTCCACCTTTAAAGTGACACTAAAGAAGCGCGAGATGCAGACTCGGAGGCAGAACTCGAGATGTACACGTGTTCTCGGCCAGTATTCAGAAAGTATTGAATCCACGGGCTGGTGGACACTGGTAACTTTAAGGGTATGTTCAGATCTGCAAACGGAGCGCATTTTTACCACGTTCCGGTGCGTTTTTTATTGCTTAAAATGGGCTTTCAAGTGCGTTTGCATCCATTTCCATGCGTTCCAGACCAGAGAAAAATGCAGACAAGCAGTATTTGTTTTGTCTGGATCTGAGCAGACTGCGCTGGTGTGAACGGAGCCCAGAAATCCCATTGGGATACTTTTTTTGTCCTAGAAAAAAAAAACTGTTCTGGTCTGAAAAAGGTTCGGACATGGTGCAAACAAGCACTGAAGGATTCATCCTTCACTGTCCAAAATCAGTAGTAGGCAATCCCAGAAGTAGTAGTAGGCAATCCCAGAATGCTACTACAAACAAACATTATTAGCAAACACGGAAATAAGCCTAAAAGTGAGAAATGTCTTCTGGGTATAAGTGAAGGTAAAACAATGCACTTCTAATTTTGGGCTAGTAACAACAGTACATTTGTCAATTTAAAAAGGTCCTGACAATGGTACTTGAATGAGCAAAAGTTTGGAAGCAGACTTGTTTTTAGGAGGTACTTATGTAAATTAATGGTAACAGATTATAGATTTAGCACATCATGATTAAAATTGCTATCATTTTTATTCAACACAAAATAAAAAAACATTGATACACCAAACCTCAAGATAATAAAACACCACTTCAGGCCACGATTGTCAGGGTATGCTAGGGCCTGTAGATGCACATCAACTGGAAATGACTTTCACCTGGATAAAGTTCATACAAGTTCACAGTACAAGTACCTTAATAAAGAATCTGCAGTAGTCTCTCTTCAAAACATACACAGCAACTTCTTTCAACCCTTCCATTCCATACATGTCAGCGATCGAGAGAATCTGACTGCAAGAGAAATCAAAACATAGCTTAAGACTTTGATCTCTATACTACAGAAGAATTTTGTTTCTTTTAGTGAAAACGCATTATTTTTATTTGTTATATACAACGCTCAAGCTTCAAAGATCACAGTAGTTTGTCTCATTTCTTAATGGGTCTCTAATAAGAACTGTCTGTACTACCCACATAGCAAAAGTCTGATTTAAACATCCATCTTGTAACTGTCCATTTCTAGGGCAGGTCTCGTTGTGACTGAAGCCTACAGGGCACACTGTTCCTGGTCTTTCAACAAAAGTCCGGCACTGCCGTGCTGAGATAAGCAATTCATGTCCTAGAAACAAGGGGGTAAAAAGGGTCACGGCGTCTGCTGTGACCATGTGGGAACCGAGCCTCCGCTCTTATGCGTCTCCAGCGTGAGGCAGCCTCTGAACTTACCCAGGATCAGTGGTTTTAGGAAGATCCATTATTCCTCCATATATGAAATGCATGATGATGGTCATATCTGCTTGTTTCACACTGAAGAATAAAAATATATTTAAAAAAAAAGGTCAAAAAGACAGGCAGAGATTTTATATAGATATAAATA